CCTGCTCCTCCTGCAGCGCCTGGTCCCGCTGCGGCACCAGCTGCTGCACCTGCCGGCACAGCGGCAGCCGTCGGAACGGGAACGGGAACGGGAAACCGGGAATGGGAACGGGAATGGGGAACCGGGAATGGGAATGGGAACGGGGAATGGGAACGGGAATGGGAATGGGGAACCGGGAATGGGGAACAGGAATGGGGACCTGCTCCTCCTGCAGCGCCTGGTCCCGCTGCGGCACCAGCTGCTGCACCTGCCGGCGCAGTGGCAGCCGTCGGAACGGGAACGGGAACGGGAAACCGGGAATGGGAATGGGAATGGGGAACCGGGAATGGGAACGGGAATGGGGAACGGGAATGGGAATGGGAACGGGAATGGGAATGGGGAACCGGGAATGGGGAACAGGAACGGGGACCTGCTCCTCCTGCAGCGCCTGGTCCCGCTGTGGCACCAGCTGCTGCACCTGCCGGCACAGCGGCAGCCGTCGGAACGGGAACGGAACGAGAAACCGGGAATGGGAATGGGGAATGGGAATGGGAATGGGAATGGGAATGGGGAACGGGGACCTGCTCCTCCTGCAGCGCCTGGTCCCGCTGTGGCACCAGCTGCTGCACCTGCCAGCGCAGCGGCAGCCGTCGGAACGGGAATGGGAAACCGGGAATGGGAATGGGGAACCGGGAATGGGAATGGGGAATGGGAATGGGAATGGGGAACCAGGAATGGGAATGGGAACGGGAATGGGAATGGGAACCGGGAATGGGAATGGGAACGGGAATGGGGAACCAGGGAACCAGGAAAGGGGAACCAGGAAACTGGGAATGGGGTGGGAAACACAGATGGGAAACTGGGAAAAACAGAGGGGGAACCAGGAAAAACGGGAAAGGAGTGGGAAACACGGTGGGGAAAGGGAAAACAGGAAAGGGGTGGGAAACGTGGAGGGAAAAAATGGCAGGAAAAGGGAAAAAAGAGCAGGAAAAGGGGAAAAATGGCGAGAAAAGGGGAAAAATGGCGGGAAAAGGGGGAAAATGGTGGGAAAAGGTGGAAAATGGTGGGAAAAGGGGGAAAAGGGCTGGAAAAGGGGGAAAATGGTGGGAAAAGG